AATGGCGAGGAAGAAAATAACGAGCCATCTGCTAAAAAGAAGAAAAGGACCAGTGGATCGGATGTCATGCATACCTTCGAGAAAAAGCGAAATTGATATAAAAATGAAGCTGATGAAGTCGAGCTGAGAAGAACGGAAAGTGAACGACATTACCTAACTTATGCAGGAAGAACTACGATTAGAAGGCTTGAAGCTGAACGCCAAAAGACAGAATGAGCAACAAGTTATGCAGTTAATTAATTCCCAAATGATGCAACAAACAACAGATGAAACAGAAAGCTATTTGAAGTGACTCAAGGTATGATGTTACAGCAGCAGCAGCAAAGTGCTTCTTTTGTAGCTATATTAGAAAAGTTTATAAACAAATTCAACTAAAACCAGAATAATCATTGTGTTTTATTTGATTTTTGTTTGCATTATCATTGTTCTGTTGAAAGACAGTGTTTATAAGACATTTATATTTCTAAACATAAACATAAATAAGAATAATGAAGGATTAGGACTAATTTTTTGGTCTAACTTACATTGTTATTTGTATTGTTTGTATTGAATATTGTTGTTTTTAGTTATTGTTTTGTCTTATTCATTCTGTACTCTGTTAAAACATGTCAAACGTTTATGTAAATATTGCAGCACAATACAGCATTTATAATACCTCTTTCATTCATTGTCAAAAAAATATTCATCTAAAGCAGGTGGATCAAGCTGAAAATAAGTGGAGGTTGTTGACTGATATAGGCAAGTAAAGGCATTATGAATTAAGGCAGAACAAACATACATTTTCCCTTAATTGCACTTCAAGTGAACTTTAAGATTTTTCTTAAAGTCTACAATTTAAAATAGTTAACAACATCACCAAACACCCACTCTACTGCCACCCTGACAGAGCTCATAGATTTGTTCCATGCAAGTTGGTTCTGCTGTTAGCCCAGCCCTTTGTATGGAGCTTGAAGATGTGGTCTAAGAGGGTAAGCTGGATCCCCATACACACAAAGTATATCTCCTTCAGGATTCATTGAGTATTGCTGCATTTGATTCAAGATACCAGACATTGCCAGCATGGCACTGTCATGTCGTTTTCCTTCGACTGGGCCATACAAATTAGCAATTAGTCCATTAGGGGCTGCTATAGACTGAAACTTTATGGCGTGTACTCGTTTATGACCGTTGTAAAGTACACGTTGATTTTTTCCTGGTCTAGTCACAGGTCTGACTGTACCATCTATGAACCCCCAGCAGTTTGCTAATGGAGCACCTTGGCTGTGTACTGCATCAGCAAATATTTGTAAATTGGAGGGAGAAAGCCAGGGTTAATTTAAAGAAGACAACAAATGTCCCCATCGCTCATATGTGAAGTTGATAACTGCTTGTTATCATGCATAGCTGTGAAAAGGTCTTCCAAATGTTGGCACCAGATTTGCAAAGCGGCAAGGATAAGCAAACCTCATCAAAAATATACAAAGCGCCTCAATGCCGCGACTTGAAACACCATTATAACAAGTTACCTCTAGAGGTAGCTGCATTACGTCGCGTAGGTGGTATATATCGTTGCGATAAAATCGAAATTGTTATTGCACTCATCGTCAGAAAACTTGTGAATGGAAAACTTGTCGTACTTTCTGTAACACATATTCGGGTTTTTTGGTTTATATATTTCGTATAGCAACATGCAGTCATCTACACCAAGAAAACCATCACCATGAGAAAGTAATAGAGCGTCTCTGATGCACGGCATCATGGAAAATATATAAATATGGAAGCTAGCTGTTTAGCGAAAACTTTTATCAACATAAAGATTTCCCGCGCTTTTACGAACGTCGCCTTATCGTAAGGACAAATTAGCTACAACGAGAACGGCAACGGCAACTAGTCGATCCAGTCCCTTCAGAGTAGATTGAGGTCGCAGTTGCCGTTGTCGCATCGTAAGGTCCCTAATATCCGGATTCGACCGTCCACACGTATCTGAAATGTTATCGGATTCAAAAATTTCCACTCTGGAGAGCGGATTCAAAATATCCGGATTTGCATGCTAATTGACGTGGTGCGTGTGGACGATAGCTGTATCCGAAAAGAAAATTTTCGATTCAAATATATCTATGGGGTGCCATCCGCCAAAATTACACTATATTCAATTATTCAGCACACATTTTTATCATTATTCAGCCTTATTTCAATTATTCAGCACATTTTTTATCATTATTCAGCCTTATTTCAATTATTCAGCACATTTTTTATCATTATTCAGCCTTATTTCAATTATTCAGCACATATTTTATCATTATTCAGCCTTATTTCAATTATTCAGCACATATTTATCATCATTATTCAGCCTTATTTCAATTATTCAGCACATTTTTATCATTATTCAGCCTTATTTCAATTATTTACTAGTACTTACGTTTGTTTGGCTATAAAACTTACTTGCAATACCGATCGGTAAAGACTATTTAAATTAGTTCAACTTACAGACAGAACAGTTATTGTTATTGTGGCTATAGCAAGATTTTGAGGTACCATTTGAAAAGATAAAAAAACGAGGGAAAAATTGGTTGAAGTGATGGAAGTAGAAGGTGAAACACAAACACTGAGGAAATGATTCGTTGGAGAATTTTAGAAGTAAGAGATCGTTTAAATCGGTGTGATGTCAATTTAGAAATGCAAGACGTATTGGAAGTTGTCGATGAATTGATACAATACGTTGTTCTACTAGATTCATTTGAAGAAGGGTTTCTGAACAGGTTTTAAACTATTTAATCCATGCTCGTAACACGCTATCCAGGGAAAGTATCAGAGCCACTTTTGAATATGATCGTGCGATATTGCTAATGCTGGCAGGCCTTCACTGATTATCGGAAAAGAGCAAATTGAATATCTTCTGGATTGCAGTTTTACAGTCAATCAAATCAGCGAAATACTACATGTATCAAAGCGCACTATAGAACGTCGTATGAGTGCATATAACTTGACAGGAGTGAACAGATTTACAGAAATTAGCGATCAACAGCTGGATAACAATGTTAACTACGTTAAACAAATCGCGCCCGATTGCGGTTCAAAGCTTTTTTCCGTTACCTGCGGTCAATGAATATTCGTGTGCAAAGACGCGTGTCCGAGAATCCCTTTACTCGTAGATTCCTTAGGTGTTCTTGCCAGGCGATGCAGGGCTGTCCATCGTAGGGTGTATAATGTTGCTGGACCTCTTGCTTTATGGCACTAGATGGAAACCATAAACTTATCGTTGGCTTTGTGGTTCATGGGTGTGTCGATGGATACACTCGTATCCCTGTTTTCTTACAATGTGGTAATAATAACAGAGCAGCTACTGTTCTTAGCCTGTTTAGGAAAGCTATTGATGATTGGGGTCTTCCATCACGTGTACGATGCGATAAAGGAGGAAAATGTTGATGTTGTGCAGTACATGCTAAATCATCCTCAACGTGGCCCTGGACGAGGATCAGCAATTACTGGGAAAAGCGTGCATAACCAGAGAATAGAGCGTCTTTGGCGTGATGTGTTTGAAAGTGTTTTAAAGTCCTTTTACAATTTGTTCATTCAATGGAGGATCATGGGATTTTGAATCCTGGTGATGAAGCAGACATCTGGTCTCTTCACTTCGTCTTTATGAAGGAAATCAACTATTGTCTGTTTCGATGGCTTGAAGCATGGATTAGGCATCCACTTCGAACAGAGCATAACAGTACTCCTTTGCAGCTTTGGATCAATGGCATGCGTTGGAATCAAAACGCAGCTCTTCCTCATGAAAACATAGACTGGGAGACTTATGGCATAGACTAGACAGGCTTCGTTCCAGCAGAACTTGAAGTGATAAATGAATTGAATACAATTTTAAGTGAAGTTATTGAAGCTAATGGCGATGTTATAGAGCAGTACTATGTGATAAGAGATTATGTCAAACAACTGGATTCACGGTAACCTTCAATGAATTTCTCCGATCCATGATATGTCAAAAAATTAGAAATTGAACAAAGAATTTCTACATCTTTATTTCTCATGTTGATATGGTGTTGACAATACATCTTAATTAAAAAGGAAATAGACATGGACTGTGTGTTTATTCCAATTATAAGGTAAATGAAAGAATCTATTATTCATAAACGCGTGTTTCTGAATTACCAAACAAAACAAAATTTATCATGAAAATATGTGAGCAACTAGTAATATCTAATCTACAATCCACTTTAAATGTCAATGACAACCACCATAAAATGATAATCTATTTTCTTTTTCAATAAACAATGTAAACAAAAGGCGTTTCAATGAAAAAACTACAATTGTCGAAACACCGAGCGCAACACAAAAAATATAATGGGGAAAACAATAACTCTTTGAAGAAAACTCATAATTAACTCAATATATATCCCAATAAAATTTTAGTGCATAATATGGGTTCATTGTTGTAAAGAAGCACTCTCGTTGTAAGTTATTTCTTGCAAAATCAAGAAAAAAGAAACTGTCAAAATTGTAAAATCTGCAACTGGTACAAGATTTTGAGTTTGTTTCAATGAAGTCAAATTGCAAACAATTCTTGCCATATATTTGTCCCTAACATCTTCTTTGTTTGAGGTTGGTCGGGCTACCTTTTATTTTGTAAGATAATTACAACAAAGGTTGTGCCACTTGTAAACAATGTTCCCATATCCTTTATGATTGTGCAGTGTTTAGTGGCTAAGTTAAGAAGTTAAGCATATCCAAACCTTTGGCGTTTATTAACGAAATGTAAAAGCTCCCTTTAAAAGCAGAATAAACAGAATGAGTGGTTGGCAAATACAGAACACAAGAACAAGTATTTGCTTTGGGAAAATTGGAGAGCAAACCATTGGCTTCGGGATGGTGCAAAAACGCTATTTCCATTTTAATTGTACGGAAAGGAGCAGTTTTTAATCCTGAAGTGAAAAACAGAATATCAGAAAACGATAGTTCAACCTCATCCTTCTCTATGTCCAGTAAAAGATCTTCCCAAAAAGCAAGAATTCTGCTTTCTACTCTCCATCTATTCGATTCCACCTCGCCTTACGAACTGAAAATAGATTTCCAAGTACAACTGATGAAAGCTGTTGTTCGTGAAAACACATAACCTTGTGAAATGTGGAAGGGTTGCAAAGAATAGAGTCAAGAACACCTAAGCAATTGAGACCGTTACGGAAACTTTCAAACGCAGGCCGAGTCCTACCCAGAATATACCAATAAGCTGTCTCACGTGCAACATCTTTAACATCATCAACACTTTTCCTCGATCTCAACGAACCAGATAGCTCTAAAACACTATCTAATTTCTTATTTGCAATTATTTCATTTGCCTCTTCCACTGATTCAGCAGATATTAACTGCTGTAGGCCTACTTGCAATTCTAGGTCATACACAGATTCGACAGGTACAACAATTTCACTTGGCCCATTTACAAGTGAATCAAACAAGACTGGATTAAGACAACGAGGGCCAATTCCACAATGAACTATTGCCATAGCAAAGAGTTGCCCTGCATAGAAATATTCTTGTTCTTTCAGAGCCTTAGCGTCAAGAGATAATACCTTTCTCCTTTCCACAGAAAAGTTTACCGGATGATACTTTCTCAATAGCTAAAGTAAAGAATTCTCTCATGGGTCCACCTACATCAACAGCCCTCTGAATGACCCACGTCGTCGGTGAACTTTACTGAAACCTTTCTATCTGGGAGAAAGATTTCTTGACATTCTCGCAATATCCCAGCCCAAATATCACTTCGGCATATGTTGAATTTGGAAATATGCAGAGGATCAAGATTGCCAGCAAGCTGTTGTAAAATGTCATTTAAATCCAAAACCTTTTCTGGTTCAAGCGTATCCTTTGCAGTACTTGTGTCCGAGTCGAGTGGACTTTCTTCATTTTCGTTGACCATAATTTCATCCTCACATTTATCAAGTAAAGTAGCATCATTGACTTCTTCAAATAGCATTGTTCCATACATCATATCTAAGTCTGTAATATTATCACGTTCTTCAATAACATGAATTGTTTCATTACTCATTTCTATGGAAGTTTCCGTGCTTTCGGGTGGGCATGTATCATACAGTGGTTGGGTTGTTAAATTGCTTGTTTTCGTGTACGTTGAACATGTGTCTTCTTGGTCTGTGACACGAGTCCCTGATGGTGTTTGACTGCTTCGCCTGTAATACTAAGCTGTGTGGCTTGTTGAAGTGGTGTTGTAGAATTTTTCGGATCTTTCCTAAAGTGCGATATGATAGGAAGTGAAGTTAGAAAAATTTTGTAAGCTAAACTTTTAATATGAAGAAAAGTTTCAGTTTTTATTAGCCTTTTTTGTGACTTGTTCTATTGGTACATTAATAGTACGTACAACTTGTTTTTATCCTAAGAATTAACAAAAATGAAAAACAAATCATGAAAGAGAAGAAACACACCCATTGTTATGTGACTGTACGATACTTGACTTTTACAAAGCTAATAGAAAGCTAATTGAAAATACTGAAAATCACTTTTCAAATGGTCGAATTTTCAGATATAACTAAAACTGAGGAGCATGCCCCCAGACCTTCTAGGGAAGGCTTGCATCTTTGCTGCTCGCAATGACCCAGTGACACGGTCAGCTCTGGAGCTGGATCTGCCCCTGTATATTACATCGATTATACCTATACTGAGATATCGTAGCTCTACAAAAGATTGAAAATTTATTACTGCAACTAGGAACAAGAAGCTACGAAAATCGATGGACCCAAGTCTACTCTGTTCCTGTGTGACAAAATAGACACATGAATATGATTATTTCGAACAGTACATGCCAGAGATTTATGCGTCAAAGAAGAGAAATCTTTAATGTTCTTTCAACTGCTCTTTAAAAATTTAGCTTGTTATGTGGCTACTTCACTGTATTGCTCTAGAACGTTGAAAATGGCATTTTCAAGGCTCTGAAATTCAAAATTCCTTAAGGGAGAAGCCTCAGACCCCCCAGGTGCGGAGCGCCTCCGACGTTTTATGACTGATGTTTGAAAAATCCTAGATCCGCACCTGAAAGCATCTTCGACTCGATCAGTGAAAGATGCCATGCTTTTTAGCCACTTGATCCCTTAATCCAATGCTTAATCCAGGTCCTGGGAACAATAACATTGCTCAGTGAATGCACGTTGTTGCACAATTTTCTCATAATACTATCCCTAACCCTGACAATATGTCTATTTTTCTAATGCTTTTGTTGTGAGGACACAAAAAATTTAATTTTCGGATAAAGAATTCATGATCATTATTCACACAACGAAACAAAGTACACCATACCGAGACGAGATTCGAACCTGCGAAAGACGAATAGAAAAATGCTCTTGGTCCTTTCGACAAAACGGACTTCATTCCACACGAGCAAATTGTTTTTATTTTCAACTAGGTACATTTAAAATTTGATTAATTTTTTCCGCTGCTGTGAAGAATTTAACTACGTCGCGTGCTGAATGTGACGTAGTTTCAATCCGCCCCTGGATACAATTACAAACAGCTTTAATTTGAGATTATTGATTCCATTAAAGGCATGTTAAGTGAACGATTTCAAGATAGTAATCAGTTGGAGTTTTTAGATCTTGTAAATCCTAAAGTACTTACTACATGGAAGGGCATAGTTCCACGGGAGAAGATCAATCTTCTCAAGGATAAATATAGTCCTTAATCCTTATTTTGACATCCAAACTTTGGAGCGTCAACTTTCCTTCATTCACAGCTACAAGGACGTTTACAAAGAGTGTAGTAACAAGGCGCTTAAATACATCTATAAATTTAATCTTCAGTCTTGACAGTGGCAAGTTCTTCAGTAGAGAGGTCGTTTTCTTGCTTGAAAAGGGTAAAAAGCTATTTGAGGAATAGAATGGGTCAAGGTCGGCTTAGCTCTTTGTGTACAATATAAATTCACAAAGATATCATTGAACAAAAAGAGGAATCAGAAGTGTTGCATAATGAGGTGGTTGAAAAATTTGTAGAAAAACGCAGGAGACTGGCTTTTCTTTATAAATGATGGGTATAAGCTTCAACAATTCCAGGCTTATGTGACCAGCAAGATACTCGTACATAAACTACTATTAAAACGACGACCGGTATACAGATAAGTCTTTATTTCAATGCAATGCGTCAAACGTACGGTTCTAAACGACAGAGTATAGATATTAACATAACCGACAAGGAGGCCTAGAGCCGTAATCATCGTTACCTCGTAATTTGGCCACTAAATATAAACATCCATGTACAAAAATACACCACTATACATGAATTGTGCTCAATCTCAAAAGACCCCAAAACCATGCTTTTATACGGGTCCCTTTTTAATAATTAGCATAATAATTAGCATAATAATTAGCATAACCTAAGCTCTATGCATCTCGATCCTACATACCAGCCCCGAACGACCTACTATACGTCGTTCAATAATTCAAAAAGGATCGAGAGCTACAATACAAATGTTTTCAATGTTAACTTGCGCAAGTTTTAAACAATGTGTCCACCAATCTTGTCGAATAACCAAACATAAACCAATAGATACCGTCGTTTAACGTAAACAAAATAATAATAACAGTTAAGTGACAACAACAATAACGTTCGTTTTCTGAAGAATTTCGCTTTACTTCGCAGTCTCCAATAGGCACAACTTCCTGACATCTCGACGATAACGACTTTGATTCGCCGTGCGGATCTCTACTTGCCGAACATGTCCGTTGCTATCGGGAAATGTTTCTTCAACTATTGCTAGAGGCCATTCACCTCTGGGAGTATCTTCCATCACCATCAAAACGACATCACCTTTGATTAAGTTTCGTTTTGGGTGTAGCCATTTCTGTCGTTCTTGCAAACTTGGCAGGTATTCTTTAACCACCTTGCCCAAAACTGGTCAGCTAACTTCTGCGCTCGTTTCCATATTTCTCGGGGGTTATTTGCCGTAGGTGAAGAACTTGCACTTGTGCTTATGTTTCGATAACGCAGGAGTAGAGTGTTTGGTGTAAGAGTTGATAAATCTCGAGGGTCATCACACTGCCGTACAAGAGGCCGATCATTCACTATTTTCTCGACTTCGCACATTACTGTAAGGAGCGTTTCATCATCAACAACTCGGTCTCCTATTATAACACGCATTTGCTTCCTGATTGTTCTGATCATGCGCTCCCAAACTCCCCCGCTATGGCTTGCTTTCGGAGCAGAGAAATGCCATTGAATTCCTTTTCTCTTAGACGATCTAATATTCTAGCTTGATTCCAATTTTGCAACATTTGCTTAACTTCAGATTCCGCTCCTCTAAAATTCGTCCCGTTGTCACTGAACAACTCATTCGGCGGTCCGCGTCGACTGACGAACCTACATACGGCTTGAATGAAGGAATCTGTCGATAGGTCATGTGCAATCTCAATGTGTATGGCCCTTATGGCTAAGCAAGTGAATACACAGCCATATCGTTTTTCAGTTCCTCTTTATATTTGACTTTAAGAGGTCCAAAATAATCGACTCCCACAGATGAAAACGGGTACTCACCAGATTTCACACGAGCTTTGGCAGTGGGGCCATTATCTGCTTCCCTGGAGACTGGTTTCGGCGACGACACGGAACACAATTATTGACTATACTCTTCACAGTGCTAGGTCCCTTTATTATCCAGAAGCGTTGCCGTATTGCTGCTAGAGTTTGACTGGTTCCAGCGTGACCTTCCTTTGCATGGTAATACCGGACAATGAGCTTTGTAACGTGATGACTGGAATCAAGAATTGCGGGATGTTTAGATTCTTCCGGCAGCGATGATTTATCCAAACGTCCACCAACTCTCACAATTCCTCCGGCGATGACTGGACATAGTTTGGCGTATCTCTCTCTCATAGTTTTCTCGTTGATAGATGAACTTCGTTGGGTAAGTTTAATTATTTCCTGGGTTGCCGATTCAATCTCTTTTACCTTTAGAGGACCACGTTGTACTTCTAATCCTGGACCGTTTGGATAACGGCTTAAGATGTACTGTTTGAATCTTAGCAGCCATGCAACCGACTTCTGCAATCTGTACCATTCGGATGTTCGATGGATAAGTTGTATTAGCGAATCAGGGTGCATCCTTTGAGTTGATGACGGCACCAACTCTTGCTTTAGGTTTCTTTACTTCCACATCTGTGTCTTCTACGTCTGGTATGTCATCTAGCTGCGTTGGCCATAATTTGGGATCTTTCCAAAGGAAATCGGGTCCGTTCAACCAAAACTGCAAGTCCCGTTGGTCTTGGCCTGTTGCGCGACCAAGACTTATACCTCTTGATGCAAGGTCGGCTGGGTTGAGCTTGGTTGGCACATGTCTCCATTGATTCGGAGTAGAAGCATCGTGAATAACTTGTAATCGATTCGCTACAAAGGTTTGAAACCTTTTGTTCTCGCTCTTAATGTAACGCAGCACTATCATTGAATCGCTCCAGAAAACAATTTGACTTATTGACAGATCCAACTCATCACAAATTTGTTTATTCAGCTTCACGGCCAATGTTGCAGCGGTTAGTTCCAATCTGGGTACCGTGACTGTTTTAAGAGGTGCAACTCTTGATTTGCCCATAACTAAGGTACAATGAATCCTTCCTTGGGTATCTTCCAGCCGAAGGTACGTTGCTACCCCATATCCTTCAGTCGATGCGTCAGCAAAATAGTGGAGTTCCGCATTCCTTGTCTTGTTAAATTCGTGCGGTTTATAGCATCGAGGTATTTCTAATTTCACAAGGGAATGGAATTCGTTTTGCCAATCATGCCATATTTCGCTTGTCTCGATTGGGAGATCTTCGTCCCAGCCGTGATTTACTCGACACAGGTTTTGCATTATGCGTTTGGCTGGTAAAACGACAGGAGCGACTAGACCAAGGGGATCGTAGACCGAAGCTATGAACGATAGAATCCCTCTTCTTGACTCTGCTTTCAATTTGCTTCCCCGGAATCCCAACGTGTCCCTTTCCGTATTCCACTGAACGCCCAATGCTTTCTCCATCGGCAACTTCTCCAACTGAAGGCTGACGCATGGCGCTCTTTCTTTGTTAGGTACGTGAGATAAGACTTCTCGATCATTTGACACCCACTTTGTGAGATGGAATCCACCGCGAGACAGCAAAACTGGTAGTTCGTCTACCAACTTCATTGCTTCTTTCCTTTCTGGTAAAGACTTGAGACAGTCATCTACATAAAAGTTACGATCAACTGTGTCGACAACTTGTTTGCTGAATTCTTCCCGATTATCTGAAGCTGTTCTTTTAACGCGTAAGAACAACAACTTGGGGAAGAGGTTGCTCGAATAAATGAACAGTCATTTGATGCTCTACTGGTTCTTTGGATAGATCTCCTCTGGCCACCATAGAAATCTCAGTGCATTACAGTCTTCTGGCTTAACCTTCACCTGATGGAACATCTTCTCAATATCTGCCATTACCGCTATCTTTTCCTGCCTGAACCGCAACAATACACCAACTAATGAATTGGTATAATCTGGTCCTTGAAGAAGCTGATTATTTAGGGATGCGTTGTGGAACTTCGCAGCACAGTCAAAAACGATTCTTGTCTTTTCTGGTTTTTGCGGGTGTGTCACAGGGTGATGAGGCAGATACCAAACCAGTTTTTTGAGTGACTCGTCCTGTGTATTTTGTTTATCCACTTGAACTACTTTAGCGTGCCCTTTTGAGATGTATTCCTTCATCGTTGCCTTATAATTTGCGTGAAGTATGGGGTCCCTCTCAAGTCGTTTCTTCAAATAAGCAAGTCTCCTTTCAGCCATAGACTTATTGTACGGGAGGAGTGGGTCATCGTATTTCCAAGGAAGACCAATTTCATATTGATGATTTTCTAGCTTGACAGTTCTATCCATTATTGCCTTTGCGCGACGATCCTCGACCGACAGACATTCTTTAACGTCAGCAGCCGACTCGCTAAACTCTGAATTGTAGAGATTTTGCAATTGCTGACGAATGGAACTCATACCATCTTCCCTTTCCATACACCCAAGAGCTTGATCAACATGAATGAAGTTCATCTGAGCTTCTTGATAAGGTTTTCCTTCAGAGGTCCCATCACCGTCCAACCGAGGATTGTCCGTATTGCGTAGGGTTGATTTCTTTTCCAGAACGCACTTCAAGGGGCAAAGAGCTTCGGGAACGTCACTTCCAATAAGGATAGTGACTTTCTTATCCACTAAATCGGTTAGATTAACGCCTTTAAGGTGAGACCACCCTTTACATCAGTGTTCGTGGGAATACTTTCTAGAGCAACAGGAAGAGTGTTGGTCGTCCAAACTTTATCTAGTCTGACACCTTTGCCCGTGGATACTCCAACCACATCGAGAGATAACTGTTGACCCTTACTTTTGTGGCTGCCTGAAACAGTCGCTAACGTGAATTCGATGGGTGAGCAATCGGCTCCAAGATCTTCAGCTAAACTGGTTAAGCACATGGTTGTGTTGGAGCCACTGTCTAAGAACGCATAAGTTTCTATCACACGACTACCATAGGGTGCGCTGACCTTAACTGGAATAACTTGCAAACCTATACGACAACTGCTATATGATGAATTTGTCGCGCCAACTCCAGACGTTGGGAGTGCTTTGGATTGGCTGTCGCTTTCAGATGGTTCAGGATTTGAATTACTCCTTTCACTTGATTTAGAATCCTTAGCCTTTATTTCGGATGAGTGTAACAAAGGATGGTGCCTTCTCTGACAACCTTCAACACCGCATATGCGGGCACCTCTGCAGTCTTTCACGAAATGTCCTGGGCTCAAGCAAGCATGACAAACTTTGTGCGTCTTTACTAGGTCTTGTCGTTGCTGAAGATTTTGAGCCCTGAACTTGTGACAGCGTTCAAGATGGTGTGTGCCTTTGCATAGTACGCAGGATAAATTTCTTCCCTTTGATTCACTACTGTCAAATATTCTCTGGCTGTGAGTTGCTAAGTTTGTGCTATTCCCACTAAACAAGAAGGATTTCTTCTTCAATCTGTCAGTTCCATCCTTTCGGGTTTCATTTTTCGAGGTAATCATTTGACCAAAGTACGTACTAGCCACGGCTGCGCGGGATTGTATGAATTCAGTTAAATGAGAGAAATCTGGTGTGATGTGATTGTCGTACATATGGCTTGCTTTATCAGCCCATTTTGACTTGAGATGCATTGGAAGGCGGCTAACTACCCTTCCCAGAGTGTCCATCGAATTGATACTTGCCCGATTTCCTAACTGAATAGAACCAAGGAGACACGTTTCCATATCTCTTGCTAGCTGCGACAATTTCTCGGCTTCGTTTACTCTAATTGGCGGTCCATTCAAGACTTTCTCAAGGAATGCTTGGGTTACGATGTGATTTCGACCAAAGTTTTTTCTCAGGATTTCCTTAGCACGCTTGTATCCTTGATCCGGAGGCATAATGATGCAATGCTCTATCGCTTGTCTTGCTGTTCCTTTACAATACTGAATAAGGTAATTCAGTCGATCTGCATCATTACTTTCTTTACTCTCGACATTCACTTCAAAATTCTTCATGAACAACGGAAAGTTGCGAGGTTCGCCATCAAAACTCATGTATTCCCTTTGAGGCATTCTTAATCCCTTCACTACTTCGTCCATCGTAATCTGCTGCTTCTCTAATAGATATTGTAACTGCGACGAATTGTCTCGTTGCAAGCTTTGCTGAGTTTGACATCCAGTTCCACTGGTTATTATACTTTCTTGGGGTACACAATTTCCGGTAGGAGGTATCGCCAAGCGCTGACTTAAACTGCTTCTGTCGATTGGGTTGAAGGTTGCTGGACTGGGTTTTATCTGGTTCACGAGCGTTACTACTACTTTCCCTGTCCGACAGTTGATGTTCAATATCATTACCAAAAACTTCTTCTTCAAGCTTCCGAAGCTCATCTCGACGTCGTTGTATTTCCCGTTTCTTCATAGCCATCTCATGCTCAATTCTCGCCTGATGCATTTCTTTCTCTAGTTTAAGCCTTGCCTCCCTCATCTGCTTGTTCAGCTCTTCTCTTCTATTAATTTCCAATTCTTCAAGTTCACGAAACCGTTCTGCCCATTTTGAATCAAGCGCGCTCGTTACTCCAGCCCCGTTGTCTTCAAAATTTGTTGTTTGCGTCGGCTTTCCCACGCACGAGCAGTCCGCGTGACGTTCACGTGAGAAGCTGCTTGTTTACCGATATTAGAATTGGACTGGAATACAGGAGCAAGAGGCGATAAAACCGAATTATCCTTCAAAAATGAAGCGACCTGACTTAGACCAAGTTCAAGCTCCTGTTCCTGTTCGTCTGCTACTCGCTCCGGCGAACCCAAACTCGTCGAAGCCTCGTCAGAAACGACAACTTGCTTGTTTTGTACGACGACGTTCGGTCCGCTTTCAGCTCGCTCGCTACCGTCATCTTCAGCGGATTCAATCATGTCTTGATTCGTATTGTTAAGCGAATTCTCTCCAGATTTAGCTCGACTCACTTGACCTGGAGGACTTAACTGTTCGCCAGACGGCTGAAGTACGCGTTTTGATAAGCCTTTAATTTTCGACTTTTACCTTGACCCTTTGTTTCTGAGTCATTGCTGATCGATTAAACAACAATTACGAGAACTATATAAGCTTCAACAATTCCAGGCTTATGTGACCAGCAAGATACTCGTACATAAACTACTATTAAAACGACGACCGGTATACAGATAAGTCTTTATTTCAATGCAATGCGTCAAACGTACGGTTCTAAACGACAGAGTATAGATATTAACATAACCGACAAGGAGGCCTAGAGCCGTAATCATCGTTACCTCGTAATTTGGCCACTAAATATAAACATCCATGTACAAAAATACACCACTATACATGAATTGTGCTCAATCTCAAAAGACCCCAAAAAACCATGCTTTTATACGGGTCCCTTTTTGTTTTTCATAATAATTAGCATAATAATTAGCATAATAATTAGCATAACCTAAGCTCTATGCATCTCGATCCTACAATGGGTATAGTATGCGTTTTGATATTTGTTCTTATAATGCATATACTTTTCTCGAGAAAATTAAGCATATTTTTAAAGAATAAATCCATTCCTGTCTACCTGCCCCAATCTAAACAAGTGTAATGCTAAGAACAATCTCTCTCTTTGCATTTTAGGAAGAGTCGTATATAATGTTATTTTTTGTGCTAATCCAAAATTCTTCTGTTTATTCAGGGTTAGTGATGAGTTTGATTCATTATGTTTTAGGGGACAATTGTCTCCTGCGTAACGTTTCTCTGAGCCACCTTTAGTACCGATTTAACCAGTTGCAGTTTTGACAATTGCCACATTAAAAATGCAGCTAATAAAAACGGGTTTTATAACTTATTGTACAACAAATAATTCGCCCTCCTTGAGGAACCTGGAATATATTATTATTAGTACCAATCTATGTGCGATACTCTCCCCATTTTGGTAAATTTTTTAAATTGTTTTCTATTTTGATTTTTTGTATGAAAGTCCTTCACTTAAATTACAATTGTGTTAAGTCTGAAGTTGTGTAGGATGCCACTAAGTGTAACCTTCGTTTTTGGGATGAAAATATGTTTTTTAAGATGTATTGTTATTATATATTAACAAATGAAGAAAATCAGAAATTATTTTGATCTGCCTTTTTTTATTCAATTCTAAAATTACTTATCTGTAAGTTTTTGTAAAATGGATAAAGAAACCCTTCCAATTATTTTGTTTCAGTATCACAAAATTTTCTTTAGTCAACAAATTAAAAACAAAAATTCGTTAACAAAAAGAAGGCAATAAACATTGAGCATATAGTTTGAGTTTCTTAGAAAGGAAGTTGACTATCTTGGGAATATACAGTTTGAGAAAAAAGAAAGTGTCCCCTATCTCCAGTTTTTTGAAGTCGTGTCAACTCAGTTAATGTATGGTGTGGTGGGTAGTGAGGTTTCACGAGTGGTTGTGGTTGCTGTGGTGAATGTAATAGCTGTGGTGGGCTCAGCATCACCTTCGTCAACATAGCAAAATCTTCTGCTATTGATTCAGTTAGTTCTTCCATGATGGTCATCATCTTTCTCATGTGAGTTAAATTTTCTTGGTCAATCTCTTCAATTTCTGTCGTCATATGAAGTTTAACTATCAACTTATTCCACTAATATATATTTAATTCAATTTAAATGTGAAAGCCAGAAAGATGTAATGACGGATGGCAAATATTGCCAGGTAAATTTTAAAGCCTTGTAGTTACTGCACCCAAAATATGTTTTACATAAAAAAAATACTTTTTTACATATTTAAGCTGCGCGCAAATGCTCCTATCTGCCAGCACTGTTGAAATAAATAGCAAAGGAAAAGGTCAAAGAGAATTTGCCGTGTAATAAGATTTCTTCCTCTTTGTTCCTTGTTAAAATTAGTTTTGTTAATTAAAGTGATTAATTTGCTTATTGTTTTGTCTACAGAAGACCAATTATTTCCCAACGTTTGAATAGAAATTGCCCGACGTTACTCCTTTTTCTCAAAATTGGGGGTGCTGCAGCACCCCCAGCACCCCACTTGTAATAATGCCTATGGTTTCACCGCTTACAGCTTGTTTGAAAATCGTCATAAAGAGCAAGGTAATATTTAACGCTTAATATATCGACAATTTATGTCAAAAAATCGAAAATTATAAAAGGCGCCGAGTATTTGGAATAGAAATGAAACTGCGCTGCCAATGTCAGAAGAGTAATTCAATTTTCACACTGACTTTACGAGGAAAGTTTCTCGTTTACTTTATTTCTAATCGTATAAAGATTATCAATCAATGTTCATTGGTGAGTTAATGTTTGTTCATAGTATTGTACATGGTAGCCAACAGTTAACACAATTTTTGGTTTTAGAATGCTTAGTACTATGGAAATTTTTTTGGTGTACAATTAACTGCCAAATACAAGACACGGCCTATTTTTCATATGACCCCACCTCTTCTTCACAAAAACACTAAAGGTTGTATCAAGGAAACGACAGCCTTTAAAAATTATTGTTAGAATTTCAATGCCTAATCACTATTCCAACCTTGTGCCCTTGTATCAAAATATGTAATGCTTTGGCATTGAAGCAAGATATAACAATAGGTTGATTAATAAAGGTCTTCTGTTGGATAGGCCATGTTGAAATTAACATATTGCAAAGCTACTACAAGAACTTGTTTTTAATTTACTTGGAAAAATATATACAATTGTATTTAATTTTCATATATAAAAATGTATTAAATTTTCTCTGCGATTGAGTTGTATCGTAATACTGTGGCATTAATGTGGTGTGATTGAGTTTTACAGTAGTTAACTAATATATATATATATATTTAATTGCAGGCTCAATTTTCTTTATTATAAATTGTATTATGTCTAAAAATAGTCATAATACAATTTATAATAAAGAAAACCGGGGTGGATCGTTTTTAAGTAGTCAGTGGTAGTAAACATAAAAATAGAGAGGGTGAGCCTGTGATGAAATACATATATATATTACTTTGTCAAGACTAATAATATATATAAACAAATATATTTTATAAAAAAAAGATATATTTCAAATAGAATGCAAAATAATTTCATTGATGAAATTCCAAAGTCCAATTTTTTAAATGATATAATGGAAAGTCCAAAGTCCAATTTACTGATGATACAAATTGTTTCGCTTTAATATATTATCCACAAGAAAGAATCCAAATATGAGTCAGTCTTTTCACCAACTTTAGTATCCCTAAACCAGTTAAGCCAATCTTCTATTTGTATACAAACGCATAAAAGAATTCCACTTAGCTGGTATGTCACATTGTATATTTTGATGGTTCTACCAATGATGATACATCAGAGTCTTGAAATATATATTGGTGATATAAATTGGAATATAGCAATGTGTTGTTAAAAACTCTAAAATACCACTCGTCTTCCATAATAGAATCTTGATAAAAAAAAAATGAAGCAACGTCCTTATTTCTAAACATACACAATATGTATTGCTCCACTTCATACGATTACCACACACCTCCGGTGACGAGCAGCACGTAATGATTATTATTATGAGCTATTACTATGATTTTACCACTTTCTTTGATAATTGCAATGAGTTATTTTTAAAAAAACGACTATAAATATCATATAACGACCGTACTTTTATAATATTGACATCATACCGAGAAGGGTAAAGGAAATAAGGAATAAAATTAATTTCACCCTTAAAAAAATCAAAAGGTAAACGACTGCAAACATGAATATAATCTTATTCACGCAATAACGTTGAGTATATATCATATAACATTGATTGCATTGAGTTCTTTCTTTTTGATTTTGCAACCAATTAGCAATATTTCCCCTCCAAGAAAATGATCTATTAAGGCAACCTTTTTGCAATCACATTTTGCATTAGGAAATTTCTCATAATGCCAATCAAAATAGTTACTACAGTTCAATTTTTTAATTACCTGTTTTGTATTGCATCTTGATGCATTTATCAGTTTCTTTGATATCATGTAAATAATACCATGAAAGCAAGCGTCACAATAATTATTAGTAAACAATCATTGTGAAGCTTCCATTTATGGTTTTCTTTCTTTCTTTTTTTTATTTTTAATTTTTTTACAAGTACTAACTCCACATAATTATTTTGTAATAATTTTATTTTAAATTAATGAAAAAAATTCTTATTTTATATCTTTTTCTATTTTCTCATATATTTCTTTAATATTAAACACAAATTCCATTCTTAGAAGATTTATAAATTCATCAATTTTCTTTGAAAGTTTTTCTTCCATTTTTGTGATTTCTCCATTTATTATTAGTATTATTTTGTTAATTTCAGAAAAAACTTTTGATTCTACAGAAGATTCAATTTGACAATAGATACATTTTGTACACAATGATTGCTTACATCTTTTTAGAGGAGAAAGATGATGATGTGAGTAAAATTATTAAATTCACGAAATGTCAACTACCCAAATGACGGATTTCCAAATAATCCACCTTTATTTTTGGAAGGGTTATGCGCATCATTCATATTATATTTTTCCATCTTTCTTTATTCAATACCAATATGCTTATCTTCCCCTACAATGATATTAAGGATTGATATATTACATTTTTAGAAAATAAATAGAAAAAATTAACATTTCTTATCTTTTATTTTAAAAAATCATATTTCATATTTTTTTATAAAAAAAGTTCGTATTTCTTACTTTTTTAATCATATTTCTCACTTTTTATTTTTTAAAAAAATTCAATTTCTTACCTTTTTGGCAAGGATAATGTGAAATCTTCAATAAAAATTTATTTTGATTTGACTGTTTTGCTGTCTAATTGATGATGGGAAAATCTTCAAATGAAAGTATTACTTTTATATTTTAAAAGATTTAAGTCAAATTATTATGAAATCAGAGTATATATCTAATTTCATTCATGGTAGTGGAATGATTATTTTTAATAAAGAAATTCAAGGTGGAAGAAAATTTAATTTTAAATTATGTGATGAAGGGATGATAATCACCGAAAAGATAGTATTGACATATTTATAGAAAAATGGATGACTACTTTTATTATCATGATGAAAAGAAAATTATATACATATTACACAATTTGATTTAATTAAAGTATTTTATAAAAATATTATTGAAAAATTGTAATAGTAACTATATGATATATATAAGATGGAAAAGTATTGGATATTGCATAATATCATTTCTTACTGGTAATATGGTTGTTTTGTACAGAATTATTGTGTTAATTGCTGAAATTTCGGAAAAATGGATGTGGTCTTCAAATGCAAATTTAAGATGGATAAAGTATTATATATACTATCGATCATCAACCGAAACAAGATTGCTTCAGTTTTTATATGATATATATAAATGATGTAGAAGATGAAGTCTGATTGACATTTGAGTGTTAAATGTATAGTATCATTTTTTGATAATGGCAGATTGGTGCAGTAGAACTATAATATTCATAACTGATGATGATGAAACTTTGAATAAAGTGTTTCTGTCTTTAGATGTCATTTTGAGTTGGAAAAAGCAATGTGGGTTTTTGAAGTTATTGTTGAATATCAAGAAATTAGTTTAAGCATGATTTTTGACGCATATGAAAATAAATATATATTCGAACAAAAATCTTTTATTGAAGTATTTATGAAAGTATTAAAGAAATAGTTGGATGAAAATGATGATAATCAACATTTTGAACAAATGAAATTACTTATGAACAGTAATGTTGAAAAAATAATATTTTATGTAGCTGAATAGGTGTGTATATATAACTTACTCTTTTCATGTAAAAACAGATTGATGGAAAAATGTCTAGGATACAGAAGTATCAATGTATGTGTACAAATTGTATACACAATAAAAAAAATTTTCCTTTTTATTTTAAATGTTGTGAAAGATATTATCCATGTCATCATTGTCATAATAAAAATTATTTTTGCAAATAGAAAAGTCAAATCAAAAGATATTCCAGGATGTGTAATTTTTGTGGATTTGAGCAAGGAATTCTTCAGCATTGTATCAAGTGTGAGAAAAAGTTAGCTGATTATTTTTGTGGTGAATATGTTTTAACTGATTTATTAACACCAACTGTCACCACATCAATTAAACGAGCATCTTTAATAACTGTGTTTGGTACGATCTGATACTGTCCTCAAGAAAATACAAAAACATGAATTTTTTATTATATGAAGCATTATATGAAGTATTATATGAAGTATTTACAAATTGTTATATAAGTGAATTTTAACTCATTTTTCAAAAAAATACTCAATACATTGTGTTGTTTAAATTAATTTCTTGGTTGAGTTCTTTTAATTGATCAAGTAATTTTTTTCTTTTCTCAAATAGATCAATTAAGAAATTTACTTCTTCCTCATCTTTATGTATATTTCCTTTTATAAGTGAATAAAAAAGCCTACTAACACAATTTTGTTCGGTGTTTAAATATAACATATTGCAACTGTATTCAGGATTTTTAATGATTTCGTTGTTGTAATGTTCAAGTTTGTTTTTTGGTGGGGCGTCCTCTCTTTCTTTTTTTTATACTTTCAGTAACATCCATTAATTGCCTTTTTATCCTATCCAATCAGTAGTATTCTTAGGAGGACTTGTAAATACTTGATCAGGATGAGCAAATACTTGATCCTGATTCACAGTATTATTATTAGGAGGAGTTGTAAATCTTTGATCTTGATTCATAGTATTATTATTAGAAGGAGTTGTAAATCCTTGATCTTGATTAAATTCAACGTCTTCCAGTCCTCTTAAAATAGTAAGCGGTGTGGGGACATTGTAATTTATGAGAGAATACGTGCTTATTGACATAATACTTGTGGTTGAGATTGGAGACATGATTCATAAGAGTAAAAGGTGCATCTTTTTTAGGAGAATTTTTAGATGAATATACATTCTTAATTATAGGTAAAGGAGGTGATTTTTGAATATTATGATAAGTATTCAAACATGAATTTATTTTACCATCACTTTTTCTGTATCTTCATCCATGGGTTGTGGAGAATCTGGTGATGGTGATGCACGATTTTGATTTTCGATGCAGGTTGTCTCAGTATTTGTTTCAGTATTTGCCCAATTCGGTTTTGGCGTTTGTGGAGAAACATACTCATTTTTTTCTTGAAATTGATTTTCTTGAAATTGATTTTCTTGTTGAAATTGATTTTCCTCTTGATTTTCTATTGATGCTTTTAAATTTTTTTCTTTATTTTTCTTTACAAACATATCAAAACGTTTTTGTTTCTTATATCTTTCAAATAAAATAAAATTTTTGTAAAACTCGTTTGATTCCATTTTTCTTGATAATAAGGAGTTTTAACGAGCACTCTTATATACTACTTGAATTTGATATAAAAAATTGTATTTCCTTTCATTTCATTCATTTACGGTATGATTACCCTTGGTTGTACTTGGTACAACCTGATACTAATTTTTGCTTAAATTTAGAACATAACCTTGAATTTTCAATTTGATTGACATTAATGAATGTCTAGAAGTTACTAATTAGGATGCTTTGCATTTTTTTGACGTCAATGAAGAATTACTACATGTTTTTATTACTATATTTGTTTATTTTATGCATGATAACCTTGAACGCTTCATATTTGCATACTTAGATGTTTTTTGGCTTTTCTGTCTAAATTTTTTAACGATTTTGGTTTTCATACAAAAAAAATATTTTTTTATATGAAATACAAAATTTATAAGAAATTTGTTATTTTTTGTGAAAAAATCCTTTATTGATCATATATAAAAGACTCGTTGTTTGAAATTGTATGCATTGAAAAACTAACGTGTCATATGTTTGTTAAGTTTCTTTTATAAAATGGATTTGAGTTTGTTTTGTACACTGGAATCAGAAGGATCAACTGCAAACACATCACACAATTCAACTGCAAACACATCAGACAATTCAACAGCAAACACATCAGAAAATTCAACTCCAAACACATCAGAAAATTCAACTCCAAACACATTAAATTGGTTCAAAAGAAAATTTTATTATATATGTGATATGATGATGATGTAAATATCGAACTTGCAGAAAATCACAAAGAAATTCGCAAGTTAAAAAAAACAACTATTTGATGTGGTGACTGAATATGAAGACTTGAAAGAGGGTAGCGCAAAATAAAGCAAGACATATTGAATATTTAAAAGACTATCAAGCTTTGCAAGATGAATGTGATGGATTATATCATTTGTTAACTGATTATGAAAAAATAAAAGAAAATCCTCAAGTAAAGTTAATATTAGCACAATCTAATTTGGATGAACTTCAAAATTGAAGCGATTGTGTTATCAAAAGCGATGACAGACGAATTAAAGGGTACTGTAGACAAAGTGAAATATATAAGTTCAAGGGCAAGTAGCAAACAAAGACACAGTGTATTGAGATGTAGATACCAACGTTCAAGTTGAAAGGGAAACAAAGGGTATTTTGTTGTAACGAGACTATTTAAGAACGTGTAAATATCACAATTGCATCAATGTTTCTCAAGCTCCACTAAAGCCTGGCGCATACTAGCGCCATCGGTTGAGCTGAGAGTTAATCGTGACTGTTGGCGCACGCAATTTTGTCAAGTGTGCGGTCAAGTTTTGAGCAATATTCGCCTCGCGCGCCATCGGCGCCGAATATTCAACATGTTGAATAAAATGGTGCACGAGTGAACATTGGCTCCAAGTGTGCGTGCGTGCGTGCGTGCGTGCGTGCTGAGCTATTATCTCAAGACGTGAAGAAAATGCGCATGTGTTCTTCCCTCAATCATTTGAACTTGGCCTCTGGTAGTGTCGTTGAAGCAGAAGCTTTGTTGGAAGATCATTTGGCTGACATTTGGCCAGATTTTCCCTGTCTTTATGACGTGCGATGTCCCGAATTTAAAAATCGGGATTTACGTGAAAATGCGTACGAAGAAATCGCTGAAAAACTCGGAAAAACAGGTAACGTACAGGCGAAACTTGGGTCTGTGTGTGTCTATAACCTGTTGTGCCAAATGTTGTATTGGATCATGACAACTTATTATTCATCATGCGTCCATTATTTTTGTTCTATCTAGTTGAGTGGGTAAAGTCAAAAATCCGATCACTGCTAAATCGTTTCGTAAAGGCGAAAAAACCTCCACCCACTGGCAGTGCTAGAAAAAATCCATCTCATCGAACCATTTGGATATTAGAGAAGTTACAATTTCTAGCACCTCATGTTGCGACACGGACTTCAATTTCGAATATTAACTCTGTAAGTTTCGTTCAAAGTTCTTACTCAATTTATTTATATGACATAGAGTGATGAAATTATTTAATCAAAGTCATTACAGTATATTTAATTATAAGCAAACTATAAAATTATTTTCTACACAATCATATTGTCTTGCCATGGTACAGAACCTTGATTATTGAAATAGTCAGTCAACACTTCTCTTTGGCATTTTGCATTTTTTGGAGAATTACGATTGCTGCCTGGCTGTAAGCCATTCAGTGATGTATTAGTTCTCCACATCAGGATTACAATATGATCTTCATTTTCAACATCTGTAACACCACTGTAATTTTCAATGTTCTTGCCAATCATGAAATTGTGAAGACAGCAGGCTGCAAAAATTATGTCAGTGACTTTGTCTGGGGATAATTTAATGGTTGTTAAGAATATGCACCATCTATGTGCTAAAACTCAGAAAGCATTTTCAACAACTCGGCGTGCCCGGGACAATCTATGATTAAAAACTCGTTTTTGCTTGACTAAATTGCGATGAGGATATGGCTTCATCATGTATGATGTCAAAGGAAAGGACTCATCTCCCACAACATGATTTGCTACTTTTGATGTTCCTCTTAATATACTTGGTTCAGGGATGTCTGAAGAGTTTGCTGTAAGTGCTTGTCTTAATGCGGATCAGCAAAAACTCCAGCATCTCCAGCTCTTCCAGCAGCACCAACATCAACTTAGACAAATCTGTAATTCGCATCAACCATAGCCAGCAAGATAACACTGAAAAGTGCTTATACTTAAAAATTAAGAACCAGTGTCTGCTGGCTGTTGAATTGCAATATGCTTCCCATCAATAGCTCCCAAACAACAGGGATAATTCCATCTGCTCTCAAATTCCCTTGCAATTCGAAGCCAGTCTTTGGTAGTTCTTGGGATCTAAAAAATGATGATTTTTATTTTAAAAATTTCAGGAATCCGTTGGCACTCCTCAAGACACAAGTTTCACCCAAGAGGATGATGATGATTACAACAATGATTTAAATATTAATGAAAGTGAAAATGAAATGGAACATCATCGAGTGGATGGTGCAGCAGCAAGGTCTACGAGTCAGCCTATACAAAGGCCAACTACTTCAAGGAAGAGACAGGCTGAAGAAGAATTTAATTTGATTAAACGTTTGTCAAGTTCAATAGCCAAGAAGAGAAAACGCAGAAAAGAAAATAATGGTGGCAACATGTTGGATGGTTTTGGAGTCTATGTGGCAAAGGCACTTTCGGAATTAGATCCTAGAACTTGTCACCTTGCACAAAATAAAATAAATGGTATAATTTTTCAAGCACAGGCTGGTCAATTAGTACCAACTCAAGAAATACCCCCACAAATGCTTCGTGCACAATCACAAAGAAATTATTTCAATCCAAATGTAAGCAGTGGTATGCCATCAAGTTCAACACCACCACTGTACTATGAAAACAATGCATCATACAGAGATGACCATATGCATATGTCAGGTGCCTGGCAAAGTTGATACATTCACATTTGCACACTTTTGTAGTTATGGCTTGTTTTGCATGTATTTGGGTAAAATAAATGATGTAGAAAAGTATTGTTTATAAGTGAATAGAGTAAATAACCTTCATATAGTTCTCCTTCATTGCTGCATAGAAGGCATTACATGTTTCCTCCACAATACCAGATATTGTTCTTTCACCTATCCGATATTGAAAAGAAAGACTTCTGAATGTTTCCCATAAACAAAATACAGACAATCATTTAATATACATGGTTTGTAATACCTTTACTTTTGAAAGACCCACTGCTATTTTTTAATGTCTTTTCTTACCTGCAGCCAAAAAGCGTAATGTTGCCAAAAAGCGTAATGTTACCAAAAAGCGTAATGTTACGGACAATCGGCTGAAACGATTTTCGTAGTTTTGTGTCGTTTTTCTGAATTAGTGGCGACACCATATTCAATATTTCCTCGAATGAAATCCTATCTAAACGATGATACTGTCGGAATTTCTCTGGGTCCTCACAATTGAACTCATCCACTATTGTATAGCCGATGCTCCGAGTGTGTCACGGCGTGAAATCCATGAATTGGTCCATGTCTTTCTGTAAGACGCTCTCGAACGTCTTCGTCTTTGGCGCATTAACATAAGCAGCAGCAAAATTCCTTCCTCGTCTGATGAACTCGAGTCCCTGGCATCCGCCATATTGCAATGGATTAATGTAAAAAAGTTGCTGAACACATGCGCATTTTCTTCATGTGTTGAGATAATAGCTCAGAACGCGCGCACACTTGGAGCCAATGCTCACTCGTGCACCATTTTATTCAACATGTTGAATATTCCGCGTCGATGGCGCGCGAGGCGAATATTGCTCAAAACTTGACCACTCAGCCGATGGCGAGTGCGCCAGGCTTAAAGTTTTCTTGTTGGAAATCGTTTTGAATCTTGGTGGAAATCGTTGACCACTCGCTATTTGTTTCCAAATATTGTTGAGGAAAACGTATACAGGTAAGAATTTAATGCTATTTGCTTTTATTTATGAGGTAATTTTATTAATATCACAATTGCATTAACGTTTCTCTAGTTACGCTAAAGCCTGTTTGTTTCTTTCCAAAGACTATTCTAAAGACTATTGGGGAAAAAACGTGTACAGGTAAGAATTTAATACAATTTGTATTTTATTTACAAAGTATGTTTTAAATATGTTAGAAAATTGAATGTAAATTATTTCATGGAAAAAATTTATAGATGATCACACAGTATACAAAACGATTAATGGGTCATTTGAAAGAGTATTTGTATCATTTAGATGAAATTTTTTTTGGAGGATGGGAATATATTATAAAGTCTTATTGTAAAGAAGTGTATCAATTACCCGCAGAATTTTTCATATGGATGCAAAAAGAATTTATTATAAAAGTAAAACAATATGAAAAGAACTTCAATGATATTAAAGATCTTAATAACGTGTTAAGTATTTTTATTTGCATAATCCAAAAAATCAGGCTAAGGGTTTTACAAAAGTATAAGGCAATTTTATGTTACTTTTTTTTGGTAGGAAAAATTATGATGAGTTATTTTGAAAAAAATAGAGTTATGAACATATTTAAAGAACTCTGCGAAAGTAAATTTCAAAACTGACAATGGTGTAATTATTGTGTAAGGTTCAAGTTAACCTAAGCAAAATTAATACTGGATTATATCGAAGCTGATTTTTTTCATTTTATTCGTCGAAAAATACAAAGAAACGATTATTTTCGAATTAAAGACAAATCTCTATTAAAAATAATTCAAAAAGGAAATATGAATTGTACTTTATTAAATGCAGACGGGTTGTTGGATAAAGTTAATGCGCTTTTAAAAAAAGATGGTAATGATGATATTGAAGAAGAAGAATATGACAATGATATAATTGATTTTAATAAAAAGAAAGGTCAGAAACGAAACGGTCAAAAAAGACCAATTCGGAAAAACAAAACAAAAAGCTTATTTATAACTTAAATCCTCATGATGATAGTAGGGGGGGGGGGGTAAAACAAATCGTCCAGTATTGAAACATCAAAGAGAGGTCAGAAATGGTATTTTGCAAATTAAGTGTGACAAGTTACAAAGTATGGAGTTACAGTATGGAGGAATTGCTTGGACGAATGATGCTTTTTCGGATGATAAGGATGAAACTCTTTATTTAATAAAAAACTTGGAAAGTTTTTGCTGTGTGAATTTGCATATTTAGTTACTAACCAGGACCACCATACATTTTATGCTGGAAAGCTATGTAGTTATTGCAAGGTTTTTATGTACTACTCTCTCTATGTCATTCATAGACAAATATTTCATGGCAAAAGAGAACAAACTAAAGGTTTGGTCAAGAACTCATTGAGCTGCCATCACATCTGCACACAAAGCAAAAGAACTTGTCCTGATTTAAGTTTTTTTCGTTTTCCAAAGGATTTAGAGAAGTAAACATATTTTTTGTTTGCAAGTCTTATGGAAATTTTATGTAATGCTGCATGGGCAATTGAGTTTTAAGCATTTCTTTGTATTTCAGATCAAAGGAATGGGTAAACAATTGTCCTCGTGAAGATCTTTTGGGCAAAAGTGCAGAATATCTTTACAACAATTGTAAACTGTGTTCAGATCATTTTGAGGACTGCATGTTCACCAGCATGGAAAAGAAGAGATTAAATCCTCAGAGTAAGCCAACTCTATTCAAAATTCCCAATCCTCCACCCCAAATTGGGAAAAAACGAAGGGCAATTGAAAGAAAAGAAATTCAATATCTTCCATCAGGTAAATAAGTAATTTTTCACATTTTATTTTCAAATAGATTTCACGTAAGTTTAAATAAAACAATGAAACATCATTTTTACAAAAAATTACAAAAGGAATTCTTAGAAATCATACACATAATTCACTTAGCAAGCTACATAGAATGAAGGAGACAAAGAAACAGGGAGAACTGAATGATTACAAAAAAAATTCATTACAGCAAAGAAATCTCGACATGAAGAAATAGCCAATGTTACATGTTAGTTGGTGACATGCAATACCATGTACATAAAGTTGTTGGTACTCACTTAAATTAAAACACTTTAAAGGAATAAGAGGAGAGCAACTTAGCAAAGAGTGCGACAATAAGCATGGGGAAAGTTTTAACATTGATGAGATGGAAGGTTGGAGAGTGCACTTTTTGAATTTTTTTATGTGGCATTTAACCCTGTAGTTGCACATTTCTTTATAGAAGAAAATCAAACAACTGAAGGCAACCAAATGTATAATATTCCCAAGAATCAATCAAATGAAAATGGAGAAGGTAAAATGTAATGATTTTGCAACAGCTAGATTACATTAAGACTTAACACATTATAAGCTAGTTAACGAAGTTTTTCAATGACCACAAATTTTCTTTAGACATTGCATGTGAGTGTTCAAAAGAAGATTTCAGTGGTCAAACAAACCAATCCCTCTCAAATAACACCCCTAGGAAGAGAAAACAAAAAATAAAAATTCAAACTAAGAATAAAAATAAGAAGGCTGAGCAGAAAGATAAAAAATCTGGTGAAAGAAAAGGATATCGAAAGCACAATAGAAGCTGTACTAAAAAACCGGCCTAATCATCTAGCCAGCTTTGTAAGGTTACAAATGAAGCTCCACTTAAAAAGAAACATGGTCGAAGATACTCACCAGAATTACAATCATTAGCTATTTATTCATGCCATGCTAGTGGAAAAGTATACAGGCTTCTATCAAAGCTTTTTATTCTGCCATCAATGAAATCAATAAGAAGATTTGTTTCAAGAATTTGTATGAAAACAGGCCTACCACAAACAACATTAAACCTATTAAAAGAGAAAGTGCTACATATGAGTGAAATAGAAAAGACGGTACATTATGTGTTGATGAGCTATCTTTAAAGACCCACCTTTACTACAATATCACAGACGACAACATAGAAGGTGTGGAAGACTTTGGTGGTGGGTGCAGAACAAACAAAGTTGCAACATCTGGTCTTGTGCTAATGTTAAGAAGTGTTTCTGGGGGGTGGAAGCAACCATTGGGTAATGTACTTGTCAACGAGTCATGTCTTGTTGATGTTTTGGAAGAAATAATCAAAGAAGTTATTGATAAATTGAAGGGAATTGGATTGAATGTCCTTGTCATTATATCAGACATGGGGTCCAACCTCTACAACGTATCTCTTCACTTAAATGTAAATTGTGTCCAACCATTGTTTCTGCACAATAACAAGAAAGTTTATCTCATGTTTGATCCACCACATCTAATAAAGTGCACAAGAAACAATCTGATGAACTGCAATTTCCAATTTGGACAACATGTTGCCAGTTAGAAGGACATAGAGAACTTCTATGCAAAAGACAAAATGCTATCCATCATAACTGCTCCAAAGTTGACTTCCAAAAAATGAAAGTCAAATATGCTACACAGATTTTTATTCATACCGTTTCAGCAGCTATTTGCACATATGTTAGCTTGCGAGGATTATCATCTTGTGGAAGTGAAACTGCAGAGTTTCTCTTAAAGTTTGATTTCCTCTTTGATTGTGTAAATAGCTCTAATGTAAAAGCAATCAGAGAGTTGAGAAGACCAATCACAAGAAAGAGTTCACACATCACATTTTTGCAACAATCCTTACAATTTATAAAAAAAATTAAAGTTTTCATTGGCAATAAGGATGTAACAGGCAGGATAAAATCCCTAAAAGGTTGGTTGGTTACAATTAGTGCAATTATAAACATCTGGAGTACATTGCAAACAGCCCACAACTTTACTTACCTACTTACCAACTTACTAGAAGGCCGAACACTAACCCACTTGAAAATTTTTTTGGAAGCATACGACAACAAGGGGGGAATACCGACAACCCCACACCAATACAGCTCACAAGAGCATTTCGAAAGTTGTTTTTTAGTGCGCTTCTTACATTATCAAAAGGCAAATGTGCTAAAGATATGGATGTCCTCTTGGTTCAACGCACAACAGCAATAATATCAAAGCCAAAACATGTAGACAACATGCCAAAATCCCATCCAAGCATTCTTTCAATTGGACCAGCAGATTATAGAGAACATAATGTGACTTCTAACATCATTCAAGATAATGCTGTTGCTTATGTTGCTGGCTATTTGCTGAAAAAATCATTTATAATGCACAGCTGTGATGAATGCAAGAGAATTTTGACATCAATTGATTTTGGCATTGATCAACAGCTTTTCTGTTATTTCAAAGCATATGATAGTAAGAATTTTGGTGGGTTGAATGTCCCAGCTAGAAGATACCTGGAATACATAAAGACACTGGAAGATACTTTCGTCAATTGCTCTTCTGCTACAACCAAAAATTCCACTGTTGGGGCAAATATATTAAAAGTCCTCCAGGCAATTCCACCAGTTGATGTATGTACAGATTTCCCACATGATTATTTGGTAAAGCCTTCTGCGTATCTATTACGCGATCAAATTTGCAAATCGTTACTTTACCACCACCAAAAGGAAACGTCGGAAATATATGAGTCAAACATCTTTAAACTAAGCAATATTGAAAAATTTAATGAAGACCAGGTATATTCACAGTCCAAGAAAAAACATAGAAAAATAAACTGACCTTTACCTCTAGAACTTTGATGAACAGCCAGGACAGAAAACATGTCGTCCGTATTCAAGTTCCACTTTGAATGTTGCTACCAACACTTATTTTTCAAAAGCGATATTGAATTGACCGATAAGACATAGAAGACTTGCTGCGATTTACTGTCTCTACTCGAAAAACCCAAAAAAACTGCCAATGTGCCGAACTATTTTAGTTTTTGGTTAAAAACCGAAAACTGGGGGCACGAACATCAAAGGTTCCCACATGGAGTGGCTTTTCTGTTATGTATCTATTCTGTGGTAATAGTTATTTTGATTTTGTTTGATTATCATATGATATTAACAAAGATGAGATACAATTACATATTGAATGTTTTATTAGTAAAATAGTTGAAATGTATAAGGCATCATTGTATTTAGAAAAATATATCACTTTGTCTTCAGCATCTTTTAATTTGTCTGTTATTGTTTTATAATCACACTCTGATACAGGTTGACTTGAATAATGATTTTGGAGTTCATCCAAATTAGCTTGTGCTAATATTAATTTCACTTGGTGTTTCCCTTTTATTTTTTCATAATCAATTAATGAATGTCTTAATTTATCGCATTCATCTAGCAAAAGAAAAGAAAAAAGTGTTGAGTTCGTGTTACTCGCCATATCACTTTCTTAGTATAATCTATACCTTTTAGTAACAACCACGAGTGAACTTAATGATCGAACTGATTTTTATTATTTTACAAAGCAGTATTTATACTATTTATTACAAACAACAAAATAATATTATTGGCAGGAGTAGTTCCTCTGTTTACGCTATATATGGTATATAAAGAAATTTAACTAACGTCAATAACTGTTCCTTGGCTCTTAGCCGTGTGGGAACGGATACATTAATAAACTAAACTATGCACATTCTATTTCCTTAACATGTTTTTGTGGTTTATGAGCATGACTCAACATTATTTTGAAATTTTTATTAAGCTTTTAACTCTGTGCTTCGAGCCTTCGTCAGATTGTAAAAATATATTATTAAAAAAGATTTTGTAGGCGTTTGGAGCGTCTGATTGGTTGGTTAGTAGTTGAGTTGATATTATTGGATAGTATAAGATGCGTTGTCATGGTTTCGGGTGTATGGATTGCGTTAATGAAATTCGAGTGTTTTATTTTAGTCGTTATGTTATTAGTTTGTTGTTTTGGTTTTGTCTTTAGTTGTGAATAGATGATGGGGATGTCAATATGTCTGTTTATTGTGTTGTTGTCTTTGCTGTACCATGCCTCTTTTAATTCTCGTGCGTGTTTTGTCTGTGCGCATCCAAGAAGTTGGGTTTTTGTCCAGTCAAATGTGTGGTTGTCATCGTAGGTATGTTCTTCTGGTCGTGATTTTGGGTCGCATCGTTTGATGGCATTCTTGTGTTCAGTGAGTCTTGTTTCAATTTTCTTGGATGTTTGTCCTATGTACTGTTTGGGGCAATCTTTACATATATTTCAATTTTTTTATTATAAATTGTATTACGTCTAAAAATAGTCATAATAAAATTTATAAGAAAAAAACTGGGGGGATTGTCTTTGAGGTAGTCAGCAGTAATAAACATAAATAGAGAGGATGAGCCTGTGATGATATACATATATATATTAAAATCAAATGTAATAAAAAACACATATATAAAACCAGTATATTTGAGAAGAAAGGTATATTTCTTGTTTATTTTAGATTGATATGGATTAGGATGCTTATTTATTTAACACAATATGTCTCTTGGCAAGAGAGAGAATCAACTAAGAAAAATAAACAAAGCGGAAATAATGCATTGTAGGATACAGGAAGTGAAACACACACAAAACTGTATACATGAGTAGACAACTCACAAGTATGATTAAAAACCTAAACATGAAACTGCCTTTATACAATACTCCCACTCAGTTTGATGTTTAACCAAAACAAAATACAACCAAGTTAACAAAACATGAAACAGGAATAGCACATTCCAAAATCTAGTCCTATGCTGGTCAGACTAAGCTAACCCTAACATGTCTCTAAGTGAAACGAATCGCTCTCAGGGCAGAGATTTCGTGAGAATGTCTGCTATATTTTCTTCGGATTGGCAATATTGAGTAGCGATGTCACCTTTTCGATAGCTTCACGAGTAATGATACTTAATATCTACATGCTTTGCACGCTTGCTTGTTTTACCGTTGTTTGCTATCGAGAGCAGATTGATTGTCAACATGAATGGTGGTGGCTGTCGATGGTGGGGCTCCAATATCTGACAGTAACTGACGTAACCATACACTCCACCACACCATCGAAGAGCTATATATTCGGACTCGGCAGTTGATAGGGCTATGATAGACTGACGCTTACTACACCAGCTCACGGTCCACCAGGGTGTATGAACACTGCTCCAGACTTCGAGGACGGTCGGCACTACTGGCGTAATCAGCATCTGTATATCCATATAGGGATTTTCCTTGTTTTCGATATACTGAGACCTAAATCCTGGGTACCTTTGAGGTAGCGAAGAACCCTCCTGGCGGCCGTCAGGTGAGTCTGAGATGGGTAGGAGTTGAACTTTGATAAAACTCCCACTGTCTCCGCTATATCAGGACGAGTAGACACTGCAGCGTATAGGAGACTTCCTATGATAGACTGATAGAGCTTAGCGTCGACTGGCTTGCTACCATCATTCTCTTCTAACTTGACATCACATGCTGCAGGGGTGGATACAGGATTACAGTTTTCCATGTCGAATCTTTTCAGTAGTTGTCGGATATACGGTGTCTGGCTGAGGTGTAAGGAGGAGTTGTCTCTCTTTACGACTATACCTATGCAGTGGTGTAGCTCTCACGAGATCTGTCATTTTGAAGCGAGCTGAGAGAGCAGACTTTACC